AGATGTATGTTGTATGATCACTCCATCCTGGAACCAGAGCAGTTCAAGAAAATCATTAAAATCCCCAAATTACCATGACTAGTGTATGTAAACTGTACATCAGCACAGTGTGTTATCTAAATCATACCAATCATGAGTTCATTTTCTAACTCTATAACTGACTCTAAACTAGATCTGTACATCTCTTCAGAGCAGCTGCTTCTGTTTACCCAGACTACAGCATGGAAATTAGATTTATGAAGTAACAACACAAAATAAATGCAAACATAAGGTACGCAAACATTCGTGGAACTGACTGTGTTTGATTAATATCTCATATTAAAGCTGCTCCATATCCAAATATCCTACAGTTTAATCTAGCGGCAAACAAGTTGATGAAATATGTCGCACAAAAAGACTGAACGATGCAAAAAGGGACGTAAACATCGTTCTGTTTTTTGTTTTCTTAGTGAGAAGAAGCACACAAAACATTGTCAGTTCATTCATTCTATTTTCCCATTCTTCTAATGGCGGTCCAACTGAAAAATATCCCTCAAGGCAAACCCAGTGACACACTTGCTCTGAGCTCTGACCTTCATGTTTCTGTCAGTGAGCTCCCTCTGTGCGTCCCTCAGCTCTCTCTCTCTGGCTTCCAGGCTCTGCTGCAGAGACTCCACCTTCCTCTCCAGCTCCTGCTTGTGCTCTTTGATGGCCACGTCCAGTTGGCCAAGCTGAACACAACAGGATGTCGAGAAAGAGGAAAATGATGAGTCATGGCAGCAAACTATGGTACGGATTAAATGAACTGTACATCAGCTATGCTTGTGTGCGTCTGGGATGTACCAGCTTTGCTCTCTGTTGGAGCTCCCCCTGTCTTTCCCTCAGGGCGTTGTCCATGTCTAAAACCTCGTGAGTTCTCTCCTCCAGCTCCCTTTGGGTCTCCCTGTAAAGTCATACACACAAATACTTACAGCATAAAAAGACATTATTAAATGTTAAACAGCAAATTATTTTCTCTGGATAAATGCACAAAAAAGATCTCATCTGAGCACATGACGCCATGCTCTCACCTCAGCTGGACAGTCAGTTTTTCCACCGAGGCTTGCCGCTCATCTGAAACCTTTTGGGTTTTCTGTAAAACATCCTTGAGTTCCTGTAGTTGCTTCAGAGTGTCAGCCAACTCGTTCTGCACCATCTGCAGCTGCCCCTCTAAGATTTCGACTTTCTGAGAACAGCTGCGCCGATCTGCCTCACTACGATTAAGCGCCTTCTCCAGATCCATAACTAGGAGGGTGAGAGGTTTGTTAAGTTGTGTTTGTGTTAATGCTCCTACTATTTAAACAAGATAAAAGAATTCCACAAAACCTATGGAGAAAAACAAACACATCTTACCAATGTCATTCTTGCTGATGAGTTGGCTCTTTATGTGCTGCAGGCTCTCCTCCATACAGCTGATCTGAGAAGTCTTAACACCGACATCCTTCCTCAGACGCTCCAGCTCTGACTCCTTGGACACTAGCTCCTCCCTGCACTTTTTCACCTCTAATGTGAGATGTCTGCAGACAAAAAAAACCCACAAAT